AAAATTGGCCAGAGGGGTGAAGTATGTTTGAAAATTACATAGCACAGAATTGAAGCACTGCTTGAATCTGATCAGAATTAAGCTCCTCCCTGTTGAACAGTATTTTAGTTTGTTAAATGAACCTCCCAAGGTGCTCAGCCAACACAAATTGAGAGAGGAAAGAAAAATGATGTCTCAAATGTTATTTTCATGAACACCTAGATTAGCAGAACAGCCGCTTAAGGGCAGATCAGGCAATATGAAAAATTGTACTCTTGCTGCTGTAGATTTGTTGTTGTTGTTGTTGTTGTTAAAAAGCCATTGTTCTGTTTTTGTTGTCGTTCAGATGGCAAATTTGCCTGTTCTGGTATTTTAAGGCAAAGAATAAATATATAAATCCACTTTTTCAACTCCTTATATAACAGTATTATGGATTCCTTCTATACTTTTCTTTTTTGGTTGCTGCAAGCAACGTTTTATGTGGCATTTGGACTTTCCTAAATGTGAGTTAAGGAAATTTTGAGCTACTTGACTAGTCTGGCTTGGTGTCCTGTTATATGATTCTGCCTCAAATTATGCACTTCCATCTGATTGGTGAAGCTTGAAACTCATTGGCGTGCTTAACTATTATTGATTCATTTACTTACTCGTGGGAAAAAGCTATAATCCATTAAATCTATTCTTTTGACTTCTCCCACCACTACCACATTTTTGTTTAGGAATGTGATGCTGATATTGCTATGTTAGATTCTTAAATGTCACTATCAATACTAGAGCATTAGTGATAATTTTGTATTGATACCTAACTAAATTTATTTATGCTGTTGGTCGCATCATTTTTGCATGTACAACCTCAACACACTAGCAGTGTTGGTATACAACAGACTTTCTTAACTGAGGTTCCCTAGGGCTTCATAAGAGGTCACTCTACAGCAGGGGTGTCAAACTCGCATTGTCATGGCAGCGTCATGTGATGTATCAGGATTTTTCCCCCCTTCGCTAAACCAGGTGGGGGCGGGGCCAGCACATGATGCATCCAGCCCATGGGCCACAAGTTTGACACGCAATGCCAGTGCTTGGAGTAGTGAAATCAGTAGGCTGATTTCTGGAAGATGGAGTTAATTATAGATTTAACAAAGCTTCTCTATATTTTCTCTCTGACAGAATCCTTAATAGAAGTAGCAGTGACCATTGTTTATATCTGAAAATGTTCAGAGTATTGCAGTGTAAATTCAGCACCAGAAAAGTACACAGATGGCTGAGGCTTCATTTAACTTCTTTATAAACATATAAAGTAAATTTTACAATACCAGTTGTAAATTTCCCCAACATGGAGCAAACTCAAACAGAAGCAGACATGGTTTACAGGTTACAGGTTCCAAGCAGCACAGCAACTCAAATTCTCAGAAACAGACATCAGTTTCACTTTAATTCAGCAGGCAAACAAGTCACACAGCAGAGGAGAGAAGCAGTTTCATTTTCAATAGACAGACTCAGAGCTTAACTTAGCTGCAGAACTGCAGAGGTTAATATAAAGCCACACCTAGGCTACTTCTAGTTTCAGTTTCCAAATAGTCCTCATTGGCTGACTTAGTTGCTATGCCTATTCATTGGCTGACCTTGTTACCATGCTCTATTCCAGTTCATGAATATATTCTGACAGAAAATGACTTTCTCATCAGTACAAAGGAGACTGACTTCTGCTTTTGTTTTAATTTGAATGCAGAAAAAACCCAACTCTCCTCCACTCCCCCTTCCTTCCTTCCTGCCTGCCTGCCTGCCTGCCTGCCTAACTTCCTCACCTACACGCAGTATTTATATGTGTCTGTCTGTCTGTCTGTCTCTATCTATCTATAAATATAACTATGTATCTGTATACTACATGCATAGGAGTGTGTGTGTTTGTGTGTGTGTGTGTGTGTGTGCGTGTGCTCACTCCCCACAGTTTTGCTCTTTTTTTTGGTAATGTAACAGCTGTTGAATTTCATCTCAGAGAAGGGTTGCTGGGCTCAGTAAAGTCCTTCCTGATTTCTCTGACATCATAATTAAAACCTGGACATTTCACGTCTGCCTACATAGCCAGAAATAAAACCTCCTATAATTAATTCTGCTTATATAATATGGTAGTCTTGTGGAGTAGTTGAGGGCCATACATCCCATCGTAAGGATTCCAAGGAAAAAAACTGATGGACAGATTGCAATATATAAGGTATTATTACAGGCATATCTCACTTTCACAATAGGTGTTTGTAAGATGTTTGCTTCTTTTTTAGCATGAATCAGTTTCCTTAAGGAGATAAAGGGACATAATAAACATAAAATAGAAAGCAGAAAGTCTTAATTCACAAGACATCCTGCTTCAAAACAGTGGATGCTGTTTTGCAAATGTCAACATTTATAAAAAAAAAATATTTTCCAGAATGTCAGAATAGTCTGTTTTAGATGCTTTTGATTTGACATTCTGATATGTAGCTATTCAACCCCTCAGGCAAATTGTTTTTTAAATATCTCAACAACTCAGATTATATATCTCATTCTGAAGTATTCATTCATGTTCCAAATGTCAGTCTAATGACATTTATTTTTATAGTTTTTAGCAGAATTTCTAAAGAGGCTGGTATCAAAGAAAAAAAAACCCTTATGTGATAATTTGTAGGCAGAAAGATACACAGCGCAGTATAATTGAAAAGAAATACTGGAAAAAAGTGAAAAACAAATGCTTTTTAGATTCTAGCTTCCAAATGCAATTAAAAACACAAAGATTAATATGGTAATCACAGTCTAATATATATGGCATATTGCATGGGTCCTCTTTAAAATGGTTTGAAGACATTTTAAGCCATTTCTGTGTTCAGTTCAAAGAGTTGGCAGCCGTTTTATCAATCATCTAGGAAAGATTGAGTTCTTTTGGTAAAACATGTATGGTTTGCCGCTTTTTAAACCAGACATAGCTTGCTTTCCCTATACGAATTTCCCCAAACCAAAAAAGAATGCAAATAGTCAATACATTTATGCCTTAGCCTGAGGGCTCTTTGTCTACATCTAAATGAAGAGATGAAGAGTGTTATGGAACATGGGAGTGGCTGGTGATGGAGTGAGGGTGGATCCTTTGTCTTTTTTTAAGCTAGTATTTAAATTTAACTTTGTTTTTACATTGGTTGTATTTAATCTTTTGTAATACTTTTTTGATCTTTTTATTGTAAACTTCACAGTCTCTTAGCTGAGATGGGCAGTGTAGAAATGTGATAAATAAAGAAATGAAAGAAAACTCTACAGCTAAGGCTGAATCATACTGTTTCAGATGTGGTGGTACAGTGGTTAGAATGCAGAACTGCAGGCTACTTCTGCTGATTGCTGGCTGTCAAAAGTTTGGCAGTTCAAATCTCACCAGCGCAAGGGTGACTCAGCCTTCCCTCCTTCTGAGGTCAGTAAAATGAGGACCCAGATTGTTGGGGGCAATATGCTGACTCTGTAAACCGCTTAGAGAAGGCTGTAAAGCACTGTGAAGTGGTATATAAGTCTAAGTGCTATTGCTATTGCTATTATAGAAAAACTGGGAAGATAAAATGAGTGCATTTCAACTGTATACTTGAATTCATTACTGAAAGAATAAGATGCAACTTAACTATATGGCAAATCAAAGAGGCATTGGTTTAATTGCAGCATCACGTTGCCATCATGTGATGTATTGCAACATTTTCCCCCTTCATGGAGCTGGGGTGGGCGTGGCCTGCGCATGATGCAACTGGCCCGCAGGCCGCCAGTTTGACACCTTGGTACAGAGAAACCAAGATAACATTGGATTTGCCTTTTTCGGTTGCTTCCCATCCACTTTGAATCACAGAATTCCTTTGCCTTATATATAGAACTATTGAAGAAATCCACATTATTCTGTGAAATATTCTGAATCAATATACAATGCAGTTATGATGTTATTAAAGTAAAAATATTAGCTCTTGTTGTTTTAAAAAAATGAGAAATAAAATAAATAGTCATTAAACCTTTGCGGCAGCAAAACAAAAAGTGTCAGGTTAATTGTGCCCAGCTAGACAGCTGCACTTAGCCATATTTGACTAGTTTTGAAACACTCAGAAGAATCAGGCCTGGTTAATACTTGGATGAAAAATCACCAGGCAATATTAGTTATCTAAATTGGACTGGATAGTTTTTAAAAAAATACTGAAAAAAATAGAATGCATTTCCATATCCTTGCAGATAAAACTTCACATACATTGTATAAAACTTAATAACTTCCTGAATTTTAGAATGTCAGAATTGGTGTTTTCTTTGGGAGTGCAAGCAAAGCAGGAGGAACACAAAAGAACAATTGTTGTTGTTGTAGTTGTAGTTGTTGTTTTAATCTTCAGTTTGATTCACAGTCTGGGACTGGTAAAAATTTAAGAGTTCAAGTTCTAACTAAGGACCTAACAGCTGTTAAGGTAACAGCTGAGAATACAGGCAGTTCCAGATAGGGTGGATTTTTTTTTTTGCCAAGTCAGGATATTCAGGTCTAATAAATTCAAAATTTCCATGTATTTGGGAAGCCCTTTGGGTATTGCTCCAAGGGCTCCTATAATTATTGGTACAACCTCTGTAATCACTCAACTTCAATTTGCAAATCACAACATTGTTATTTTTTCTAGCTGATTCTGGGGAATTTTTTTAACTTATTATTATTATTATTATTATTATATTATCTGTTTCTAATAATTTATTATTATTACTATGAGTCATGCTTAAATGCCCGAATTGTAGAAAAAGGCAAATGAGTATAAATAAGCATTTTTAATTCACCTGCAGATACTTTAATATATATCCATAAAATCACATAGTGACAATTGTTCTTGCACATCAGATGAAAGCTTACCAAAAGAATTGTAAAGGGAAAATGCATTTGCTTTTCTGGGGCACAGAAATGTGTTTCATAGATAGGCAAATGATGTTAAGAGAACATGATGCTTGTTTTTAAATGATTCATTTAATTTGTATAGAACTTTTTTTTTTCCTTTTACCATTTACAGGAACAAGCATATTTACTGTTTATGAAGCTGCATCTCAAGAAGGTTGGGTCTTTCTGATGTACCGAGCAATTGACAGTTTTCCCCGATGGCGCTCTTATTTCTATTTCATCACCTTAATTTTCTTCCTTGCCTGGCTTGTTAAGGTACATAAACAAGAACCTTATAAAAATGTTAATAAGGGGAAACAGAAGAGAGATGTAGATTAGAAAGCAACCTGAATAATGACATAAAAGATGCTGTGTCATGAATACAGTGTGTGTGTATTGGTCGCACTACTAAAGTTTATGGAGGGAGAACTTTGATGAATTGTATACATTATTTTGAGACAGTTATTATCTTGAAAGCTAAGATAATGCCTTGTTTATAAAACAGACCCTCTCAAAAGTATATTGGTACTATTAGCAATTGTACTTATTACACTAGGCCAGGGTTTCGCATGCTGCCTGCATCCCATAGATGGGGCTTCCCTTCTTTGCGCAGCGCAATTTCTGGCATGCCCTGTGCCGGTGACGGTCCATGGACCAGGGGTTGGGGATCCCTGTACTAGGCCGTCATTGGAAGAATGTTAATGGTCCAGAAGAGTAATATGTTTAAATGTATTCCAGGAATGTTCCCAGGTCTGAACTGGAAAATCAAATTGTTTACTTCAATTGCCATCACTGCTGAAATGCATTGTCTTTGGCAAACTTTCTATATTTAGCTCAAGGCTTTCAGAATTTCTACAATCTCCAGAATTTCAGTAGAATATACAGTATTTCAGTGGTCTGGTGAAATACAGATATATATTTGGCATACGGCCATATTGTAGAAGGACTGCACTTGAGTTCTTTATCCTGGCTGCCTGGCTAACATATGCTACAGCATCTTTGCTCCTACACTGAAGTAGTTGTTCAAACTGCCTTTTTAATCTGAGAATATTCCATGCTGTCATTTTCCTTGCTTTCACTTTCTAAGCTTTGTAACTGTCATTTTTCCCCCTGTTCTGGCTCATTCAAAGTCAAACTACCATTTGGAATGATACCAATGCAAGTGTTGGTTGCCAGTGTTTGCCTAAGCTTAAATACTACTGTAATTCCTGAATTATCACATTATAAAGAGGGAGAAGACGCTTTAAAGAGACCAGAGAAACACTGGAAATGTTCTGTAGCAAGATAGTCTGCTATTTTATCCAAGTGGTAATATCTTTTCATAGGGACGATTTGGAATTGGTAGACTTTAATATGAAGGTGATAATCAAATGATTCTAAATGTACAAAGACTAAGAAATAACCTCTACTGAATGGAGAATTTTATAGAAACAATTATATAAACTATTATACTTATTTTGGCCCCTAACCAAACCATTAGTTCCGCAGAGTAATATTTTACATGATATCTATTCACATACCTATTAACCATAAAATAGCTAATCAAAACACTATATAATTCAATTTCTCAACATCCAAAAATCATGCAAGAGGAATACATCTGCTTCATAATTAGGCACACAACACTAGGTTGCATGTATATGGATGCCCCTAAATACACAAATCTAACAAAGCTCTCCATCCAATTGTATCATTACTGGGGACCTCTACTTACAACGTTGCAAAAGAATTAACAAAAAATGTTGGGCACCTCAGAAGTGGACGCAAACACGCCATTAACTCCCCACTACAGTGCCTTCAAACATTCAGAGACATGGCTATAGAGAGGACAAAATCATCATCTCATTTGATATCATGGCCCTTTTTATCACCATAGATCTGGAACTAGCCAAAGAATTAATGACCATAGCACAGCTGACTTAACCAAATACATGAAGATTGAAACACGCAGAATTGTGGATTTCATAAAACCACATACTTCCAATTTGGTGTACAAACTTACCAACAAATTAAAGTTACACCTATGGGATGATCTCTTTCAGGACTTATAGCGGAGGTCATTATGCAAGGTCTGGAAGCCATAGCACTTCCACAAATACAACCCCAAATATGAATCAGATATGTAGATGACACCTTCATCATAATAAAAAAGGACCAATTAGAAAACACCCACAAAACCATTAACAACATCTTCAAAGGAATCCAGCATACTAGAGAAGAAAAACAACAACAGCTCATTATCCTTCCTGGACATTCTGATCAGCAGAGACCATGATGGCAAACTGGAAACACAAGTGTACTGTTGTGGCCTGCCAGCTGCCAGCAGAGCTGGTGCCAGACTCGGATGATGAGGAGGTTGGGGAGGAACTTGGGCCAGTTCTGGAATCTGGAGAAGGCTCTGATGGATGCTCTGTGTTGGACGCAGAGATAGAGCCAGGGCTGTCCAACATTTCCCAGCCACCGGAGAGGTAGCTGCCTTTGGAGGCTGATATGAGTGAGGAGGAAGAACAGGTGGGGCTTGTTCCAGATGCATGTATGTGCAGAGCTGTTAGGAGAGGGGAACAACGGAGAGCAAGGAGTCGACTCGGGAAGCAAAGCACACATGGACACTGAATGGGCCCTCCCTGGTGGGGAATAAATAGAAGGAAAGGGGAGTGGTTGTTGTAGGAGACAACAGTTCATCTTTCTGAAGATTTTTGCCATTGTGTTTCGTGCCACAGAGACTGCTTGCTAGAACTTAATTTGCAGCCTTTCGGTTGGGAGCTCACGGCCTTGCAATTATCGCAAGGAACTGATGAGATCTGTTGCTGCCATTAACTCTTTGAAGGACTATTGCCTGGACTTTTTGGTGGGTGAATGCAATTAATTCACAAGAGGTAAAAGGCTGGGTCAGAACATGTACCGAAAAACCACCCACACCAAGCAAGTGCTTCACTATCAGAGTAATAACCCTTGGTGATTCTGTAGGACAGATCTCTCCACATCTTCCAATCTTTCACTATTTCTTGTAGTTTTTCAATGCTCTGACTAGTTCGTGTCAACTTTAATGGTATCCAGCCACCGTGTTCTTTGGTGGCCTGGTTTCCTTTTACTGCTAACTCTTCCAAACATAATTGCTTTCTCCTGTGAATTCCCCCGCATGACATGGCCAAAGTAAATGAGACACAGTTTTGTGATTTTGCTTGCCAGTGATATGTTTTTTGTTATGCTCTTCAGTACCTGCCTGTTAGTCAACTTTGCTACCCAAGGAATACGCAGGAGTTTTCTTCAGCACCACAGCTAAATAAGTTACCCCAACCAAGGAACTGCCAAACAAGCTAACAACAAACAGCCCAACCAAGTAATCTCCAAGACTACTCCCGTATAAATTGAGAACAAACCCTTATTATCACTGATGATGTTACCTAGTTTCAGTAATGAAACATCTGCAAGAAAACAACCGAGCTAGTTATATGTTTTCCAGCACTTAATTTTTGTTATCATTGAAGATGCTGCTATCATTGATCCACTGCTATCATTCAAGGTGGGCTGATTGGAATGTCAGGTAATGGTGCTGAAAACTCAAATTAATCAAAAAAAAAAAATCTGTTCTTCGACTTGTACTTGTCCAACTGGCCTCATTCCAGTTTCTTATTAAGTTCTGTTGAATTATTCAGTTCTTAAACCAACCCGACCTAGTCTCTGTATTCTTACATTTCAAAAGGATCTTCATTATTTATTTTCCTTCTTTGCCAGTATGAACTTTTTAATCGATAACTGTTGTACCTGCTATTAAAATTGCTTTTAATACTTTAAGTCTTTGGAGATTTTTTTTCAACTTGGGAAATTATTTTAAAATGATGGAGAAGAAGTAGGTACCACCTACTTCTTCTGTGTCATTTTCTGCTTCTATTTCCTTCAGCTTTTCCCTCTCCTCTCTTCCCAATCATCCTCGGGAGGATTAACTGTATTAGCAATTGACCTTGTGAATGACATATGCAGCATCTTATCTGAGACTAGACATATTCTCTCACATAAGCCATAATTTTCTTCCCAAGCTTCAACAGGGGATGAATATGTTCTTCACCAAAAACCCAGACAGAGAGACCATTTGAAATCTCCTAAGAAATTCTTTTATTCTGATAATCATCAACAGCAAAGTGGAACATTTAAAATCCTGTACAACTCTCTTATATTCATGGTAACTGTAAAGCCAAGCGATAACTTTCAAGCCACTATCATAAACCTGTCAGTGTAAGCTGGATAAGAGGCCGCATTGTTACTCATCCTTTGTACCATCTTGCCTTGTGCATCTCATTTTTAACTATCAACTAGGTTGTAGCATGCCAGAGTTAGCACTATATTTAGGTAATTGCAAACCCATCTGAGAAAATGAAATGCCTGCTCTGAAGCAGAAAATCACTTGGGGCAAATTTTTCTCCATGTTTTATTGTAGACTGCTCTGTCTTTTCATTCTCTTTAGCAATTACATTTCCTCAGCCCAATTTATTATTACAGCAATAAAGTTTTTAATTCTTTTCATTTGAGTTTTCTTTCTGAGCTTCCCAGCCTTTAGCTACTCTACAAAAAAGGAATTCCTGAGAAGATATCAACTATTTTTCAAGGGAGAATATTAACACATCCATTGTACTATAATTGTTTATATTATAGATGTTTGTTTGTTTATATAGCCACCCATTTGATGGGAAGTGACTCTGGGTGGTGTACAGCACTCCAATAAAACAGATCAAAATAAACCAAATAACACTATTAGCAGTAATTAATTGGTCAGAAATTTCAATCAACCAAAGTTTTAACCAAATCAAGCACAGTTATTGAAAGGTAGACAAAGGCTCTTGTTGGCCTGTACTCATCTTGCTTCCAGTTGTTCCCCAACTTCCAAGCAAGAGAGCTCTTCACTTTCCCAATGATGGGCAACATATTCATTAGAACATAAGAAAGTCTGTATCTCACTCATTTGTACTTCATCCAGTACCCTTTCCTTCCTTCCTTCCTTCCTTCCTTCCTTCCTTCCTTCCTTCCTTCCTTCCTTCCTTCCTTCCTTCCTTTTTAATTTTTCTAGAACTTCTATTATTTTTCTAATGTTCTGACCTCTTTCAGTGCCTCTTCTTGGGTTTGATTTTTCCCCATGCTTAATATTATTTTCCTTTCTTGAGCTGATGCTATTCATATTTTTCATCTTCATTCCAGTAGAAAACAGTGTATTGTAATATTGAAAATAAATGAAATATGCTGTCTTGCTACCAAAAAGGGAGGGGCGATGGAGGAAGCAGAATAGCAAGTACCACAATAAATATTATTTATTATTTAAAACCACTCCTAGGCACCTGGAGTAATGGCCTTGTTGAGTGCTGTTGTGGGATGAGTCCAATTAAGTAGGCTTTGAAAATAGTCCTTGTCTACCTCCTTACATATATGTTCTTTCTTTTATAGAATGTATTTATTGCTGTCATTATTGAAACATTTGCTGAAATCCGTGTGCAGTTTCAACAGATGTGGGGATCCAGAAGCAGTACAACTTCAACCGCAACTACTCAGGTAAACGTGGCTAAATGTTTATTGCCTATTGTGGTAAACATTGTAATTGTTACCCAGTCCAGAAATGGCTTGCCTTGCTTATTTATAACAGCTCAGCATTTAATTTCTGTGGGTTTGGTTGATGATTTGATGCTTCTTGGATAGTGTGTGATCTGGCTTAATGTTAATTCTGTCCTGATTGTGTTGTAAATGGTTTAGATTACATACCTTGGTGATAAATCATGACTTGTTCTCTTGTTGGCACTTTCAGAATTATGTGGCTCCAATAAAGGATAATATTTGTAACTCAGGGTTGAAATGAGGGATTCTTGGTGTTCTCTGAACCTGGTTGTTTGCTTGCAGCTGTTTCATTACCAACTAGGTAACATCATCAGTATTAGTAACGAATGGGTTTGAAACCTCATTCAGTTATCTGGCTCTTCTACAAATCATCTGGTCAATTTTTCTTCTATTTTCCCACTCAGATGTGTGTGGTTCATTTTGAAAGGGTAAATAGTTAAAGGGTATTTGGGGTGTTTGTTCTTTATTACAGTTCTGTGTACCTTAATCCTTGCTGTAATTGATACCCTGTTTATCCAGTGCAGTGTCGGCTACAATCTTGCTGTTAACTCTGTAAATTATCTTTCTTTCTTAGTGAGGTATCTTTTGGTTTTCACCGAAGTTGGGTTTTGGGGATGGGGTGGTTTTGTTCTGCTTTTTTGGTAGTGCTTTTGTAGGTTTGTGGGCAGCTTATAATCATTTTCATATCATATCTTTCCTACTAATTGATTTTCACATATTGTATAGAATATATTTTATCATGTAAATTTTGTTTCAAACATTATGTCATGTTTCTACACTATATATTCTTCTAATTAAGTTTCAGTGTGTAATTTATCTTGTTATGGTTAGTTATCATACAGTAACTAATATTCATAATTCAGTGGATAATCCTTAACATTTATATAGATTTATTTGTTTGTTTGTTTGAATTATTTCTACTCCCCTTTCAGGCTAACAAGCCTTACAAGCAATATCAATATTTGAGCCATGCAGAGTTGTGTTTTTAGATGGGCAGCCTTTCAAATCTTTTATCGGTTGATTTATTGATTGATAAATAAAAACATTAGATTATTTCAAAAGCAACAAACTTCTAGGATCCTTCCCATGGAGTAAGTGATGATAATAGCAAGAGTGGTGGTGAAAAAGGCCTGAGACAGTGTGCCTCCTTCTCATTCTGGCCCTTTTCCAACAGAATAGTTGGTTTTAAGGCCTATGAGGGGAAACAAATTAGAGAAGGAAGAAGATGTTATTTAGGCACCTTAGTATCATCCTGGAGAGGAGAATAAGCAAGGAAACATGGCTTATTTAAAGCCATGACATTGTTTCTTAGTTACTCTATCTTTCATTGCAGTATGTTACTAAAAAAAAATGAACATTTTTAGTATTCTGTAATAATCTGTGTTCCATTGCCAGTCATGGATATTATATGCATTGTGTAGAGTTTTCTGCCTAGAATAATTTTTTGTGCAAGAAATTGAACTGGTTCCTGTTTGTACATCCTATGTTCAGCACCGACTATAAAACCTGTACCTCAAAATCAGTGACCATTCAAGGACAAAGGCGGCAGAATAATAAAGTATTAAATCAATGGAGTCTGCGCTGCATTCTCTGCAATAACAAGAGATTTCTGAAAAGAAAAGAATGCAGTGTAGAGAAAAGGATGGTCACAAAATAAATGTCACCCATTTTGTTTGTAGATCTGAGTGCACAAATAGATTCTGACAAGTGTTTTCCCCCTCCAGATGTTTCATGAAGATGCCACAGGAGGATGGCAGCTGGTAGATGTTGATGTGAATAAGCCTCAAGGCAGAGCACCGGCATGTCTGCAGGTATGTTGCTCTTTAAATAAAGCTACCAAAGTAGCAAACCAGGTGGGGATCTTACTGTTTAAAACTGACAGTAAATTAAAATTCCCCATAGCCATGATTTAAAGTTAGAAATTGGTCTAGGTTTAATGTATATTCCTCTGGATTTTTGAGCATATTTTTTTACATACTATAAACAAATTCTTTCCCTTCCTCTGTCTCCAAGTTTCCATAGAAACCTCTATCCAATTCTTACAATATTAGACATATAGATATAATTATGATTGGCATGCTAGAGGAAAAATCAGTTTCTTAAATCTTAAAATGTAGTTGATTTAGCGTGTATGCCTTCTCCTGTTCTGAAAACAATATAAAGGATAACAAAGATTGTACTACTATTATACCACATGTGAACAGAAGATGCCCATTTTAGAAGTATCTTGTCATTGTCGTATATATGAAGTAAAAAAATATAAAGAAGAAAACAGAGAAAAAAAGTAAGTCTAAGTGTGGAGACTAGAACCCAAGATATGTATAATCAAGTAGGTCCTTGGGCACGCATTGTGAGTTTTTGCCTTCATCTGGAAGGTGTCATGCACAATTCTCGTACACTGCCTCAACTCTGATATACTTCTTGCTATATGTGAATTGTGGAGACTTAGGTCTAGCTAAAAGCTAAGGTAAACTTGAGTATACTGGTCTAAACGAACAATGAGAAGAGTAATGTCCAAAAGTTTGACATAAATTCAACTACAATAATTTCAAATTCATGGATTAGAAGTCACTTTTTTGCATGTGGTAGAGCCAGTCTCAAATTTAATGCCTTCTTGTAATTCCTCACCTATGTCAATAGACCCTTGGGGTTATAGATCTCATCTATGATAGTAATAAAATTCTTTGATTTGATTTAGTAGCATAGATGAAACTGCTGCTGGCTGCAGCAATAATCTTTGGACAGAGATACTTGGATTAGCTTCGTGAAAGTGCAATACTTATTTATTATTTTATTCCGTTACACTATAAAGCAGATGGTTTTGTTTTTTAAATGTTCCTTTCCTCTACTTTTTTATATCTAGATTTTAAAAAATCAACTGGTTTTCTTCACAATTTATATATCTAGCCAATACCCTGTTAAACTTGTTAAAAATTAAACTACCTCCCTTAATATATTCTTTCTACACAATAGTCTGTTTTATTGTTCAGTCACTTCCAACTTTTTATGACACAATAAATGACATCTTCTGATGTTTTTACTCCTTCATCTGCCAGTTCTGTCTGTCAATAACTGCTTTGCTGACTTCTTATAATACTGTGTGCTTTCTTCTTTCTTAAATTAGAAATTAACAATAAGTTCTTGATCTATGCCTCTGTCAGTATCAGATCTTAATTTGTTGGATGCAACAGAGTTCCTCCAACTTTTATTGCAAAGTAAATAATCAGGTTTATATCGATGCCTATTTGTCCATTATTGCTTATTTGGTGAAGCCCACATCTAAAAGAATAATCTTTTAGATTTCTGAAGAAAAGTATTTACATTAGCTCCCACAATATACAGTAAATGCAATTTATTAGGGTTTTTTTTAAAGTGCAGCCAGTTCTATGGAGATTTTACACAACTTTCCCAAGTCTCTGTTCTAACTTACACAAACTTGATACTTTATGGCACTGTGATATCAAAGTGCATGACAGATTTTTGTTGTAAGTCTACTTCAGACTATTTTTAATACTGAAAGAATAGATCCAATCTGGGTTATAATGGCTGATTTCCTTGAGGGATGCTGAATTGGAAGTGCTGTAAGAAATTCAGCCTTGCAGTCATGCAGATTACATCAGAACAGCTGTTAAAATAAGTTTGTACAATCAGTATTATGTAAGGAATCAGTACTTACAGTATAGAATACATTTCAAAGAATGGCAGAAGGGAAGAAAATTTGCTATTTTTTCATTAGTCCTTCGCTAGCGACAACATGTTTGGTGACTTCAGAACATATGAACATATATTTGTATTTGTATTTTATTTTGCTGCAATTTGATATAAAAATATTATAGAAAATTAGTATAGGCTTATCTTAAATCATGAATAATGCATGTCTAGAATGTTATATTTACTTTTATATGGTTTCTTTAGCCAACCCTTATAAAAACATTAATCAAAGGTAAGCATCATGTACGTGAAGAAAACATTTCTGAAAAAAAGATATGCCTTGCTTCACAGATGTGTAGGAAAAAAATGCTTAATGAAACCACAATACCTCAAAGCACAAACCCAGCAAGAGTAGTAGTAATCAAATTACCAGGTATATGTCTTCCAGGAAATAGCTTTGATAATGCTTGATTTTGTTCTGTGTTGGATGTTTAGGTGAAATCAGTAGGGGGAAAACCCTGACCAAATAAAAATGCAACATCTATTTTGCCTGAGAACTCCATGATAGGGAATCTAGCTGGGATAAGGAGCTCATATATTCAGTATTGATGGAGAGAAGCTCCATGTCAAAATGGCAGATGATGAGGGACCAAGTCTAAGCCACGGGTGTCAAACTCAAGGCCCGTGGGCCAGATCCTGCCTACAGTGTGGTCGGATCTGGCCCACGGGGCCATCCCAGTCTGCCCGCATTGCTTCAGCCCGGTCTACCCAAAGCAGAGAGGAAAGATCAGGCCAGTGTGGCTTTGGCCTGGTCTACATGGTGCAAAGAGGAAAAATCAAGCCAGCATGGTTTCGGCCTGGTCTACTTGGTGCAAAGATGAAACATGGCAGCAGTTTGGGGAGTAGCATCAAGCTGGCCACGCCCACCCAGTCGGCCACGCTCAGCCTGTCAGCTATGGCCCTCAGTGAAATTGAGTTTGACACCCCTGCTCTAAGCCAATCCCAAAGGTGTGATGACCCAGAGCACAGTACAAAGAATCGCATAAACAGCTGGCAGTTCAAACTGCGCCTTTATTGCTCTAAAGTTCCCCAAACGCTCCCACGTTTCTGGCAAGTCTCAATCAGAATGATAACAAAACCCCACACAAACCTCAAGCAGCTTCTGGCTGCAATTAGTCCACCCCAGCGCTGTCTGCACCAAGGCTGCTGAGCAATACATTCAAAGGTATTTGGCAAATCAAGGAGTTCAAGGAGCTAAAGATCCAGGTAATTAGTCCCGAACGCCCACAGAAGGACAAGGACTCTTGGCCAGTTCAAACGTTGGCACCACACACTTCAGAAATTCAGTGTTTGTTTGCCCCTCCCCACAACATCTCCTTTAGTCTCATTCCCCAGGAGCGCCTTGTGAAGATGGGCGGGGCACTCTCATCGCGCATAGACTGCTCCGTCTACGCTGATTACACCTCCTCTCCACTCGCCGAGCCCTTGGATCAGCAGGGGATGGTCCTAGGTCCTCACCTGAGCTCTGTCCCTCCTGTTCCTCCTGCCTCTGTTCCTCCCTGCCTGCAGGTCTTACTACTTCAGAAAAACCTTGCCTGGACTGACTCGGCCCATCCTCAGTTTCTTCCAAGGCCAAGGGAGCCGCCGTCTCCATGCCTGGCATTTCTTGTTCCAACTCATCTTCCCCCGTAGATTCAGACTCCGATGGGGGACGGGGGCATAACAAAGGCGCTTTTTCCAAAAGACAATTGGGCTTCCTTTTTTTTTTTTTTAAGCATTTCTTTTCTCATCCAAGAGGCTTCTTCAGTTCTTCAAAAGGAAGTGGGGGGGAATTGGAGGAGTATATGAATATACATGAACATGTACTGCTATGCTTTAAAATTCTTTGGCCATGTCCTGATGTTGAGTACAAAGAGATGGAGTTTCAAGTACTGATGTGAGTGGCCTCTTGCGTTCAAGGATCTACACATACACATGGCACATTCAAGTAAACCTTCACCTTTACCAAGACAAAAGATAATGCATAAAATGTATACATAGACTCTCTTCAACTTAGTTATGTTTGGGTTGTCTCTGTTTTTTTTTCAGTGTTCTCTGTATTAGTTTATCTGGCTGGTGATACACTGACTGTACTTTTGGTTTTGAGTGCATTTGAAAAACACATTGAGTGAATGAATTTGGCAAAATGAGTTTATCTTATTCATTGCTTTCTTGTATCCTGTTTGGGTAGACTTGAGAACATAGTATAGGGTGAAAAGATGCTAGACTGAGGATAGGTTGTGACCAGAGATGGTATTCAACCGGTTCACACCTACTCAGGTGAACCAGTAGTGGTTATTTGGCATGGGTCGCCGAACTGGTGGCAACCCCTGGCTGGCCACGCCCCCACCCAGTCGCCTGGTCGCTCACTTGCGATCAGTCTCCTAGCTTTCCTTTCCCCATGCCCTCTTTCTCCCCGGGGGAAAGGAAGAAAGGCATGGATGCTGCAACTATCGCTTTCCCCGTGTGAGTAAAGTGCCTGGAGTGAGAAAGAGTGCGGTCTGACAGAGGGGGCGGGGGAATCCA